TGCTGCTTATGGGCTGCTATAAAATGGCAGCAAATGTCTTGAATGTGATCTTGCTTTATATGTTTGATGGATTTTCTTGTATCAGGTGAATATCTGGTGAGAAAAACACAGTTTTATGTTGTATGTTTTCTGCTATAAATAGTAGGTCATCATTGAAAGAAAATTGAGTTTGTTTCACCTCATTTTCAGTACCAATTTTGTCCTCCCAAGTTGGGTGGCTCAACAATGGAGGTGCACCTTGAGTGCACGGTGAATGGCAGAAAAGTTGGAAAGTTTTTGCTTTGAAGCTGCACAGTTTTTTCGACACGGACATTCCAATTCTTGAAGAAAATGGGAAAAGCAAAGTGGACTCCTCCAACTTTGGATATGTTGACATGTTAGTCCTTGATAGGATAGTTTTACTATTCTTGTATCCAAAAGCTCCCTATTTTAACTCTTGTTTAAAATTTAAAAGAGTGCAGATTGGTGAGAGCGTAAAAACAGAGTGGGAAAGCAGTGCAGAAAATAGAGTGAGGTTGAGAGAAAATCTTCCTTGTTGATGCTAGAACTTTGAGAGATTTGGATTGTGATCCGAAATTTGTAATCCATTTTCAGTAGTGGATTGTTTTTCGTCTGGGCAAGTGCCTCATGGTTTTTCCCATTTGGGTTTTCCACGTAAAAATTATGGTGTCCTCTTTTTATTTTACTTGCTTGCTTATTCTATTTTTGGGTGATTGATTGTGTCTTTGATTGCTTTGATTCTGGGCATTGGACCATTAAAACCTCAACAACTGGTATCAGAGCGGGTTTTGCACACAAGGTGTTTGTGAAAATTCCCAAGTGAGATTTGGGTGATTTTTTTTTCATTCCAGCAGCCATGGCGGATGAAAAAGATGTTTAACCATGATTAAGTTGAACACCTCTAATTACTCTTTGTGGAAGACTTTGATGGAGGACAAGTTGTTTTGTAAAGACCTCTATGACCCAATTGAGCACAAAGGCATCAAACCTGCAGAAATTAACGATGCTGATTGGAAAAAGATTGATCGCAAAGCTTATGGTGTAATCCGTAAATGGATTGACATGAGTGTGATTCATCATATGGCTCAAGAGAAGGAGTCCTATAAGTTGTGGACTAAGCTTGAAGAGCTGTTTGAAAGAAAGAATGCCTTGAAGAAAGCTTCCCTCATTAGAAAACTAGTCAATCTCAAGTACAATGAGGGCAAGAATGTGTCTGAGCACTTGAATAATTTTCAAGAAATTTTGAATAAACTAGTTACAGTGAAGTTGGCCATTGATGATGAGGTACGAGCATTGATTTTATTGAGCTCTCTTCCGGATAGTTGGGAGACTTTGGTGGTAACTTTAAGCAACTCAACAAGAGATGGGGAGATGACTCTGCAGCTGGTTAAGGACAGCATATTGCGTGAGGAATCTAGAAGAAAAGAGCAAGGAATTATGAGTTCTGAGTCTGAAGCACTGGTTACTGAGTATAGAGGGAGGAGTAAGCAAAGGTATATTTGAAGAGACAATGACAAACAGTCTCAAGAGAGGTACAACAAGGGGAAGTCCAGAGGTAGATCAAAATCCAAGAGCAGAGTGACTTGTTACACTCGTGGAAAGCAAGGTCATTATCAAAAGGATTGTTGGCACAACAGAGATAAAAATGTTAGGAAGAGGGCTGATACTCATGAAGAGAAGGAAGCCAAGGAGAACACTGCTGCAATTACTTCTGATGGTGAGGTATACTTGCTATGTGAGAATGATAACATTGATGCTGCTCATCATGATTCTACATGGGTTGTTGATACTGCTGCTTCTTATCATGTCACACCAAATAGAGACTGGTTTAGCTCATATAAAGAAGGTGATTTTGGCTATCTGAAGATGGGAAACAGATCTGAAGCCAAGATTGTGGGTGTTGGTGATGTTTGGCTTGAAACAAACATTGGGTCCAAGCTGCACTTAAAAAATGTGAGACATGTTCCTGAAATACGTCTCAATTTGATGTCTACAGATATGCTAGATGATGATGGCTACCTTAATTATTTCGGTAATGGGACTTGGAAACTCACAAAGGGCATTATGGATGTGGCAAGAGGCAAGAAGAGATTTTCACTCTATGAAACTCAAGCAAAACAGTGTCAGGGACATATCAATGTTACAGAAGCTGATGCTACTGAGTTATGGCACAAGAGACTGGGGCACTTGAGTGAGAAGGGACTTCAAATCCTTAGCAAAAAGGACTCCTACCCGACTTTACAGGTAATCTTTCTAAAACATGTGCTGATTGTTTAGCTGGCAAACATCATAGAGTTTCTTTTCACACTTTACCCCTATCTAGAAGAAAATATACACTTGATTTGGTTCATACTGATGTTTGCTTCATGAAAGATAAAAGTCTAGGTGGTGCTACATATTTTGTGACCTTTGTGGATGATTTTTCTAGAAAATTATGGGCTTATCCCTTGTCTAGTAAAGATCAGGTGCTGGAAAAATTTAAAGAATTTCAGGCAATGGCAGAAAGAGAAACTGGGAGAAAATTAAAGTCCATCAGGTCTGATAATGGTGGTGAATACAATGGACAGTTTGAGCGCTAATGTAGAGAACAAGGAATTAAGCTCCAGAAGACCACTCCTAGAACTCCACAACATAATGGAGTTGGTGAAAGGATGAACAAAACAATATGTGACAGAATTGTCTATATGCTCTCTCATACTAAGTTGCCAAAGTCTTTTTGGGGTGAGGCTTTGAAGACTACGATATACTTGATCAATCGATCCCTTTCTGTTGTTCTAAATGGTGATGTTCCAAAGAAGGTTTGGTCAGGCAAAGAAGTATCCTACAAGCACTTGAAGGTATTTGGCTGCAAGGCATATGTGCATGTTCCAAAAGAGGAGAGAGCAAAGCTTGATGCAAAGACAAAACAGTGCGTGTTCTTGGGATATGGTGATGAGGAGTATGGCTATAGATTATGGGACTTGAAAAACAGAAAATTAATGAGAACCAGAGATGTGGTGTTCATTGAGAATGAGACGGTTGAAGACTCAAAGAAGCAAGATGACAGTGAGCACACTCAAGAAATACCAGACAGTGATTATTGTACTCCTTCAACACCTAAACCGAGTGTTATGAATGATGATCACAATGAAGTAGATGAGTAGCAAGTTTAAGAGCCTGTTGTTGAACATTTTGTTGAAGAAGAAACACATCAAGAAGAGCAAGTGCAATCACCACAGCAACCTCAAGTTAGGAGGTCCACTAGACTTCATCAACCATCTCGAAAGTACTCCACTGACGAGTATGTGCTCTTGACTGATGGGGGAGAGCCAGAAACTTATTATGAAGCTATGGAGAGTGGAAACAAGAAGGAATGGTTGATGGCAATGCAAGAAGAAATGAGTTCTTTGCAAGAGAATGGGACTTATGAGCTGGTAAGCTTCCAAAGGACAAAAAGGCTCTTAACAACAAGTGGGTTTTTAGAGTAAAGTCTGAAGTGAACAATCCCAATCCAAGGTTCAAAGCTAGATTAGTGGTGAAGGGCTTTGGACAACAAAAAGTCATTGATTATGATGAGATTTTCTCACCAGCAGTAAAAATGCCATCTATTCGAGCTATTTTGGCTTTGGCAGCTAGCTTGAATTTAGAAATTGAACAGCTGGATGTTAAGACAGCTTTTCTCCATGGTGATCTTGAGGAGGAGATCTATATGAAGCAACCAGAGGGTTTTGAGGTGCAAGGCAAAAAGAATCTGGTTTGTAAATTGAAGAAAAGCTTGTATGGTCTCAAACAAGCTCCGAGGCAATGGTGCCGTACGTTTGACTCTTTTATGAGAGAGCATAAATTCGCTAGAACAGAATTTGATCATTGTGTTTATGTTAAGAGGTATCCAGATGGTGATTTCTTGTTACTTTTGCTTTATGTGGATGACATGTTGATTGTTGGTCATGACACAAAGAAAATTTCAGTCTTGAAGACTGACTTGAGCAAGTCCTTTTCTATGAAGGATTTGGGTCCAGCAAACCAAATTCTTGGAATGAAAATTTTTCGAGATAGAAAGAACAAGAAGCTGTGGTTGTCACAAGAAAAATATATTGAAAAGGTGCTGGACAGGTTCAACATGAGCAAAGCAAAACCTGTGGGCACTCCACTTGCTGGCCATTTCAAACTTAGCACAGAGCAGTGTCCTGCAAGCAAGGAGGAAGCAAAATACATGAAGAATGTGCCCTATGCTTCTGCAGTTGGTAGTCTAATGTATGCTATGGCATGCACAAGGCCAGATATAGCTCACGTAGTGAGGGTAGTGAGCAGATTTTTATCCAATCCTGGCAAGCAACATTAGGCAGCAGTTAAGTGGATTTTCAGGTATCTTAGAGGTTCATCTCACATGTGCTTATGTTATGGTGGGCATGAATCTTTATTTAATGGCTATAGTGATGCTGATTTGGGTGGAGATTTGGACTTTAGAAAGTCCACTTCAGGATACTTGATGCTTTATGCAGGGGGAGCAATTTCATGGAAATCAAAATTGCAGAAAAGTGTTTCATTATCCACTACAGAAGCTGAGTATATAGCTTTTTCTGAAGCAGGAAAAGAGATTGTATGGATGAAGATGTTTTTTGAAGAATTAGGTCTTAAGCAAGAAAGATTTGTGTTGTTTTGTGATAATCAAAGTGCAATTTACTTGAACAAGAATCCACAATTCCATTCCAGAACCAAGCATGTTGATTTGAGGTATCATTGGATACGTGATGCAATTGAAGAAAAGGTGCTTGATGTTGAGAAAGTTCACACGGATGACAACAGCTCGGATATGATGACCAAGTCCTTGGTGAGAAGCAAATTTGAGTTTTGCAAATCACAAGCTGGCTTGGTGGAGCCCCCCAACTAGCTCGGGCGGGGGAGATTGTTGAGCTAGCCCTCCCAAGTTGGGTGGCTCAACAATGGAGGTGCACCTTGAGTGCACAGTGAATGGTAGAAAACTTGGAAAGTTTTTGTTTTGAAGTTGCACAGTTTTTCCGACACGAACATTCCAATTCTTGAAGAAAATGGGAAAAGCAAAGTGGACTCCTCCAACTTTGGA